AGCAGTGAAACCGAAGGACCTGGGAATGGCCCATCGAGACTGATTCACCTGGTCCCAAGCTCAGACTACAAGACTATCAGCGCTCGAGCATGCTCGCAGAAAGCCGCGGAGAAGATCTTTGCCCGACTTGTCAAAACAGACCGGGATAGGCTTGTAGACCTTGCCTTCTCAGGCTCTGATTCTGGGTGATATGGGGCGGCAGCTCTAGTTTTTGAATGCTTGGCACATGAGGTGCTGAAGAAAGGAGGGAGATACAGATTGCGCAGTCTAGGGTCGGGTGAGGATGATGAAGGGGCAAGGGAAGAGATAGATTTGCGTATGAAGAAGTCGCAGGCATAGTTTGAGTTCTCTACAACAGGACTCAACGAGTGGAAGATCATGGAGAACACATATTGCAAGCCCAAGGCATCGAACTTCCCTTGTGTGGATGCGCTTTTATTGTCAGATCAGGAGGTCCTCTACATGTTCCAGATGACGATAGCAGGAAAACACCCGATCAAGCTTGGACCACTGTGTAGGATGTTGACAGCTCTACGAGCCAAGAACAAGTTTGAGAGGGTGTGCCTTGTGTTTGTTCTACCCTCAGAGCTTGAGGGGAAAGCACGTTGGAGAGGAGCTCAGGTTTTCACCAACGACAAGACAGCAAGTGAGATGGAGAAGCAGCAGATGGAAAACGTTACTCAGCACGCGATGTTCTTGTCCAAGAAAGACGTGGCATGGCTAAAGGGAGCGGAGATCAGCATCCAGCTCGTAGACAAGGCACGGTCTCAGAGTGAAGAGCAACTGGAGGGAGGCGATGAGGCGACACCACAGAGGATGAGGGACTGGAATCTGTGACGTTGATGTAGGCTGATAGAGTGGAGAGCTTGTAGTAGCGGCCGCACACGTGTAGTAGCTCTAGCGGCTACAAGCGGTTACTGTCCTCTCCATGAATACCTTCCAGCACACATCAACTGCTTGGCATTGTCTGAGGTGAGAGTATAGCTCCGATCAGTAGTCTGCTTCTCGGATGGACATTTCTATCAGCATCGTGGACAAAAGCATATGCCTCCTGCGCCTGTTTACATCGGCTTTGCCCATAAAAGTTTGTGTTCCAAAGATGGAAAGGATATTTTTTTAGCTGTCACCAATGAAGCTTGGAAGAGAGGCGTGAACTTCAATGTGTGGTCTTCGATGGGGAGTCGCACTCGGCCTAGGGACTGAAA